GGCGCGTGCCGAAGAGGCGCGGCGCGCGCGCAGGCGAGGCCGTGCGCGTGCGTGAGCGCGCACCCCGCCGGGACTCCTGCTGAAGGAGCAGGCTCAGGAACAACTGCGCATGCTGGAAAAACCTCCAGTCCGCAATCCCGCGCAGGCTCAGACCCCCTGCTGAGTTGAGGGGTGGTGAGGGAACTGGAATGTCTACAGGCAGTGTCAAAGGTCGGCAAACAGCTCACAGATGGCCTAGGCATTTAAGTTTCTGCTTTGCAGAGAGATCTGCATCTGGCTATGTGAAGTTTATGTATGTCCCCAGAAATCAGTCACGATTCTGCATGTGGACGCTCGATGGGCCTTCTCTAAATAGAAGTGGCCCAGTAGTCCTGTCCTTGCCTGGAACTATGACATGGCTGGAAGAATGGTCAGGGACGCGAGCGCTCAGACGGAGACCCCCAACTCCTCATCACCCACGGGTATCCACAGGTTCCCCAGTAGCTGCACTTTTTTAGATTTCTTCACATTTAGAAATGATGAAGCCAAATGACAAGGAGGTTCTGCATGAAGCATCATTCTTCTTGAATACAAAATGTTCAACAGATAACAAAAAATGTTCCATGTACCCGAGAATCGTTTGTCCCATCTTGCAAGAATAGACCATCGCACACCTCCAAAGGAGAACTGCATCAAGAGAGTCACAAAACAATGTTTGAAACAACTTGAAAAGTTTTTTCAAAAGTTGAATATACAGTGACCATAAGCATTCCACTCTTAGGCGTCTACCCAAGAGAAACAAAAACATGTCCACATGAAAACTAGTACACGAATGTTCATGGCACAATTATTAATAATAGTAAAAAAGTAGAATCAACTCAAGTGTCCATCAACTGACAAATGCATGGTATATTTGTACAATAGAAAAGTATTTATCCACAAAAAGGAACGTGGTACTACTGATATATGCTACAATATGGATGAAACTTGAAAATATGCCTAGTAAAATAAACTAGATGCAAAAGAGCACATATTAAATAATCCATTTATAGAAAACATCCAGAATAGTTGAATCTGGAGAAAAACAATACATGAGTGGTGGGGATCGGGAAGGATGAGAATTTTTAGAATTAGATAATGGTGATGGTTCTACATTTTTGTGAATATACTAAAAACCACTGAATTTCATCCTTTCAAAGAATGACTTTTATTCCATGTGAGTTATATATCACAATAAAAATAATCTACACTCCAATCTGGATTTCCCGTGGTTGCTTTGTGAAGAAACACTGAATAAAGAGTCTGTGGGCGATTTAGCTTGATTCCTGAGAGAATCTATAGTCAAAACAGCAACACTATCACTGGCGAACTCAGTTGTAAATGATGTTAAAGCTACCTTTTGTGAAAGAATGAAAAATAGACTCAAGAAAGCTTGGCGAGAGCTTCCCAAGAGCAGTTGTTGCAGGAGTAATTATTACCTCCAATGAGTTAGACATGGTTTCGGGTCAGTGAGGTGACTGTGTGATTAGAACACAAATATGAGGAAGAGCAGGCCCTCCGAAGGAATAAGGAATAGTATGTGGGACAGAGGGGAGTAGAGAGCAATATAGTGCAGGAGAAAGAAGATTGGAGCAGACTAAGGGAGATGTTTTTTACACGGGGAGATGCTACGCAGTGACCTTCAGTTGCTGGTTGCTCCTTTGCATCATCTGGAGAACTTATAAAAACTAGGAATCTTTGTGCCCAATCTCATCTATTCTGAGGCACTTGGTAAGGTCTCAGCTTTTTATTTTTTCAGTACAACAGATTGAATCCAGGGCCTTTGAACTAAGTTGCATCCCCAGCTTTTAATTTTTTTTTTTTTTTCTGAGAGAAGGTCTCATTATGTTGCAGTTGCTCAGGCTGGGCTCCAACCGGCAATCCTCCTGCCTCAGTCTCGCAGAGTTCTGGTATTACAGGCCTGCACCACCACACCTGGCTTCAGCAGATTTTCAAGCTCTTCAGGTGGTTCTAATATAAAAAGTTGAGGCCATCACCACTACTGTGAGGTACTTAAGCCCAACTCCATAAAGCCGCTTTCTTCTTTACTTCTACAGTTCCCGGGCATGATTCCTACTGTTGCAACAGTAAGAAATGAATCTTAAGACTTGAATCCCACTCCATATTCTTGGCCTCAAAAGGTCTCGGTCATGTATAATTACTCTCCAACGTGGTCAGAAATCCTAATGTCCATCCCAACCGGAACCTTGCTAAGCATCATGGGTAATTTGGTGAGTTAATACAGGATAGTCACAGATGACACACATCAGTTTAAATTCACTCAGCACTTCACAATTTCTATGGAGCTTTTTTGAAGTATCTAATTAGGTCTAGATTCTTGAAAACTTGGACTATTCTTGCAAAAATAAATCATTAAATTAAAAGATATATAAATATTAATAAATAATGGGTAAATTAAAATACCTCAGGCCTAAATCCTTTCTACTCAAATTGTTGCTGTGATACAGGGTGGCAGATCATCCCAGTTTGCCAAGGACTGACGGATTTGTCTGTATCCAGGATTTGCATTGCTGAAGCTTGAAAAATTTGGGTGGACCTGAACTAGCAGTAATGACATCCACCAGGAGAGCTTGTGGAAAATGTTAAAAGTCAGGCCCCATACCAAGCCCATGTGAATAAGATCCCCAGGGATGCAGATGCACAGTACTGTCTATGAGGAGGTCACTCACTGGAATTGTGTATATTGAAGTCCTAAGCCCAGTACCTCTGAATGTGACCGTACTTAGAAATAATGTTATTGTAAATGTTAAGTATTTAAGTTAAGATGAGGTTATACTGTGGTAGTGTGGGCCCTTATTCAAACAGGATGATAGAGTGAAGGCAAAGTCACACAGGGGAAAGTTCATATGGCAACGCGAAAGGAGATCAGAGGGAAGCAACAGCAAGCCAGAGGATGCCAAAGATTGGCAGTCACCTCCAAAAACTAGGAAGAAGCAAGCAAAGAGTCCACTCCATGTCGCAGAGGAAGCATCACTCTATTGACACTTTAGTTTCATACTTCTCATCTCCAGAATTATGATAGAATAACCTTCTACAATTTCAGTGTGCCAGACCTGTGGTACTTTGTCACAGCAGCCACAGGAAATGAACACATGCCTTAGATTCACTGATTTATAGTTCAACAAAATGTTACTACAGCTATCACCCAGCAATTTCACTCGTAGGTATATTCCCCAAAGATTTGAAAACAGACCTTTATGCAAAAACTTGCATGAGAATCTTTACAGCGCTACTATTCGCAATAGACAAAAAGATAGAGACAACATAAGTAAGTATCCATTGGGTGACAAAAAGATAAACAAAGTGTTGTGTGTCCATGCAGTGGAATATTATTCAGCTATAAAAAAGCAGTGAAGTCCCCATGCATGCTACAACATGGATGAACCTTAAAAACAGTATGCTAAGTGTAAAAAGCCAGATAGAAAGGCCACATATTTTATTCTTTTTTCCATATGAATGATCCAGAATAGGCAAATATATAGTCAGAAAGTTGATTAGTGATTTCTAGGGACTATAGGAAGAGAAGACTCAGGAGTCACTGTTCAGTGTGTGGGGGTCCCGTCTTGGCATATGATGACTGCACAACACTGTGAATTCACTTAATGACACTGAATTACACACTTTAAGATGAGTGAGGTGATAAACTTTATGTTACCTGTATTTTGCTACATGGAGAAATAATATATAGCTACAGTCAGTGCAAAGGTCCTGCGGCCTGAAGGAAGGGTGCATTTGGGAAATGGAGAAGTCAGCAAGGCTCAATGGCAGGATGCGAAGAACACTAGAGAAAAGTTAACCCACACAGGTCTTGTTAGGTGCTAATAAGAATTTTAATCTTTCGTCTAAAAGCCTGGGAAACTGTGCTGTTTGTTTCCTTGAAAATGAGATACTTCAAGGAGAACTGGACTGCCACCAAAGTACCTACTGGTCCCAACTCTGACTGCCACCCCCTCGATCTGTTACTCATATACCATCCAGAGTGATCTTGTTCGAGCACAAACATTGTCATGTCTCTCTTGCTGAAAACCCTCCACTGGCTTTCCTTTACTGCACTTGAAATCAAATTTCAACTCTGCTCCCACTTAGAAAGCATATATGAGCTGGCTCCAACTGTCTCTCCCACTCCTCTCCCTCTGGCCCTGTGCTTCTGCTTTGCCTAAACAAGGTGACTGCATTCCCTCTGAGGGCCTGTCGCACTGGCTGGGCCTCTCTTTGGCATGTTTTATCCCCTAAACTCTGAATGGTTAGTTCCTTCTTCCCTGTTACTCAAATCTCAGTACAGATGTCACCATCTGAGAGAGGCCATTCCAAATGAAGATAGCCGCCCTGTTCCAATCGCCTGCATACAACAAGACTTCTGTAATATTTTCTTGTTTATATGCTTGGTTTTTGTTTTTGTGCCTCTGCTAAGGTCTCTCACTAAAATGTAATCTCTAACAGGAGAAATTATTTCTGTTTGTTTTGTTCCCCCACTGTACCATCAACACCCCGATACAGGGGAACTCAAAGATAGTTGCTGAACAAATGAGTGGTACATAGCAGTGACTCAGTAGTGGTTGTTGACTGCTTGACTAAGGGTGTGATATTTGAAATGGGTTTGAAATATGAATAAGATAATGGTAGTCTTTGAGGACTGGGGGAGATACTCTCTACAGGTTAGAAACAACATCCACAAAGGTAGTGGCTTGAACAAAAGCTGAAAGCATTCTCAGAAAAGTGGCAAGGCACATTGTAGGGCCTAGGGGAGGAAGAAGGCAAGAATGTCAGTTGGGCCGTGGTAGAAGACGGCCATGCTCAGGCTAAGGTCAGGCTAGACAACCTAGCATAGGCAGAAGGAACAGTGGAGAGTCTCTCGTTAGTG